TAATTTAGGGATGCCAGGGTTTTTCTTCTTTCTAATAACAGGTACAAATGTGTTAATGTATTTATCAACAAGGGTGCTAAAATACTTAAGCAACGTATTGGCGTCGGCGTCTAGATTTATAGCGCTGAAGATAGCTTCGATGGCAGCGTTTCCTATCAATAACGTGTCTTTTAATTCAAGCGTTTACTTATTAAAGGCTTGGAAAACGCTATTTAACAATAATTAAGGCTAGCGTGCAGCTGAAATGATTTGATGAATGTTCTTATTGCGTAATTGCGGAAAGCGATTGTCGAAATGGTCACAGCTGCAGTCGTGAACGTTCAAGCGGTTGCTGAAATTAGAACTACCGAAAGACTAGCTCGTATAACTGCTAGGGAAATAAAGTGGCATGGCTACTTACCCGTTGATTAAATTTAATAAAAGTCATCCACAAAAGCAAGTGATTCAAAAGTTTAAGCATGAAAAGCACCGCTCTGATTATGATTGTTGATGCTTAAAACTTCAAAGCAGCCGCTGCCAGACACCTGTGTTGTGTCGAAAGTCCCCAGGACGTTTTGGAGAATGAAGCGATCACATAGCAAGACAGAATTTAAAATATTTATTCCACCGATCGTTATGAAGGCCGATCGTGTCATTGTCGCAGTTTTCAAGCACTGCCAGTTCAGTTCAACACCAGGCAACAAGAGACACTTTGGGGTACTGCCAGTGATAAATTAATTTTATACTGACATAACCTGTCAGAAACGCATTATATGGTGGCGTAACTCTCGAACATTCGGTTTGGGCTAGCTGCTTCGTCAACGAATGAAGAAAATTTTGATAAAATGCAGAAAGGAAAATACTCCCCCTCCCAAGTTTTCTAATCACAGCCACTGGCTGATGTTGTTCCGTTGTAAGCTCCGGCTTTTCAAACGCGCTAACACCTTTTAGACTCACATTTCCAGCGCCACCACGTCGCACACGAATCAAGATGTCGGAGTGTTCCCCCCGTGTTGGCCAACGTTATTACATCAACTCAGTTATGGAACTGCTCATAGACGCTGCTTGCACGAGCAGTAACCCCCCCCCCCCCCTCTTTCTCTCTCTCTCTTTTTTCTCTCTCACCACGCTAGCCTCACGTCGTTCGACGCGCTCGGCAGCTGATATGGTAACTGCAGCAAAAAAAAACGTGCAGATGGCCATTGCACCGTACTCTATAGAACTCAAAGTTTTGAAACGAAAGTTTAGATGGCGCTTGAAACGACGGTAGGCTGACTGAAATAATTGAGGGGACGGGGTACCCCTTTCCGCAGGAATTCCACAACCGAGGTAATCTAATAACGTTGGTGTTGGCTATGCCGTTAGCCGCGGTGTGACGGGGTGTTCTCCTGCTGTCGGACAACAGATCGGTGAATACGGTTGCCGGGCGACGAAAATACGTTTAACGGCAGTTGCTGTTGCCTCAATGTAAGAGGGTCGCCGAAAACTAGTTTCCCCCCGTGTTGAACTGTTCCCTCGACGTGGCAGCCCTTTTAGATGTTTAGTCGTGCATGTGTACGACCCGATGTGGCCCCCAGTGATTATCACCTGTTTGGAACCGTGGGAACACTCCTGCTAGGACGCCCTTTCACGGCAAATGATGAGCTGGAAGCAAGCCCCCAGGCGTGGGTACACTATTGTACTTCCAAACGTGGTTTCGGCAGAGCACGGAAAGGCTGTCATACAGGTGGAGCAAGTGAATTCTGCTCCAGGTGAAGTATGGGGAGAAGATGGACATATCTACTCTAAAAAGCCGGTCTTTTTTGAGCAAAACAAGAAAGTAAGATGTAGAGAAATATGGTGCGCTTCTCGAAGTAGTAGTGAGCGTCGAAGGGATAAAGTGAAGCCTGGTGCTTTATTTAACTACGGCATCAACTGGGGGTTGCAGTTCAAGTGTACTCATTGGGGCACAGGAGGAACCGAAAGAGGAGATTGACCGCACAGGACGTTGAAAAGGCGGAGAGGAAAACACAAAAAAGTGTCCCAAATATAGTTTGCCTTCACTGTCCGACATATACAGCAAACTCTTGGTCATGCGGGCGTCGCGATTAGCCTGTTCGGCGCTTGGTGTGGTTCGCCCAGCGCGGCATTCCTATCTGCGGCGCGGCGCCTTGTATTGAGCGGACGACGACGCGGGTCCGGCGCGCATCGGGGGCTCCGTGATCGCGCTCTCTTTCTCCACGCCGGGATTCCGGGAGCAGTCCCCCCACACCGCCCCGGAGCGCCATTTAATTTATGGGGTCCGGTCCCTCGGCCGGGCCTCGCCGCGGACCTTGACAGGCCTGGTACGCGTTGCAAGCTGCCGTGAGCAGTCAGTCGCCGGTGAATTAACTCGATTAAGTGTACGAGCACCGCGCCTGTGCGACACGCCGTTTTGACGTGGTAGCGTCGCCATTATTTACGCAGCACCTAAAAGACCCTTCCACTGGTCCTGTCTCCCTCGAAAGTGTTTTATTTATGGTTTCTAGGTACATCCGGAACATTCTTGAAGTCTGCCTCGTTCCTTCTAAAGTTTAGATACCACGAATCGTGCGAAACGATCTAGCTTCTGCGGCAACTCGGAGGCTTTTCAGCTCTCTCGCCTCCGGCCCGAGCTTTTTACCTTTGATTGCACTTCGGTGCCTCGAAGACTTCGAGCGTACACCCGCAGTCATAAGCACGGTGGAGTTAAACGAGCGCTTGCTGAAGGCCGCACATCTGCGGGAGGTTCCCTGCGGTTCTCATTCTATCAGTGAATGTATCTTTCATCGTCGTTCGTTGTGAGCGAGCGTCCGAGCTTCCCCGCATTTTTTTTTTTTTTCTTAACATTTTGACGTGCACTGCTGCAATGGTTAGGGGTCGAGCGAATAGCTCGCCGGATTCTCGAGCATTTGTTCATCTAAGGCGCATTTAAATGCAATAAAACTGGCACTTATAACCTCTGGCAGCCCATTTAAAGTGAGACCAAGAATAAAAAAATTGCATTCCAATCTTTAAAAAAAAACAAAAAAACAGCTTTCAGCGAAATTACAGTGATTGCGCAGGCAGGCTGGTAGTTCTTAATAATATTCATGTCGTGTAAAACCCGAGATCGTAAAGAAAAAAAAAATTGGTAAGCGACCTTTATCTTTAAAGTTTGGTTCCGTGAAATTCAGGAGTTAAGGTGCGATCGAGTAAAATTATTTAGGAAACACTAACCCGTCGTTTCAGCTGTATTGACTAAAGACCTTTATTTCTATCAATTTCCCTGCTGTTAAGAGCGGGGAAACTGGGTGCTTAGGTCAGGTGGCGTCAGTATCCCCGCTAAATTTAGCGACGAATCTAAATATAGGTCTCGTGACGTCAATTTATTTGCTAGATTTACTGAGGAAATTGTATTGATGTACGTATGACGTTTAGTCAGGTTACGCGACGTAAATTGCCCCGCCAAATTTAGTGGGGAAACTGGATTCGTGTATAGGTCTCAAACGTCAATTTTTGCGCTAAATTTAGTGGGGAAACTACAATGGTGTACAGGTCTAATGATGTCAGGTCACGTGGCATCAAATTTCCTCTCTAAATTTAGCGGGAAAAGTAAATTGGTGAATAGGTCACGTAACGTCATGTCACGTGGCATCGAATTTCCCGCTATATTTAGCGGTGAAAGTGAATATGTGTATAGGTCAAGTGACGACATGTCACGTTACATCAATTTTCCCGCTAAATTTAGCGCGAAAACGTTATTGGTGCGTAGTTCACGTGATATCAATTGACGTCACGTGACCTAACCCTCCATTTCAGTTTCCCCGTTAAAATTAGCGGGAAATGAACGGACGGACGCACAGACGAATGGATGGACAAGATTTTGGGATTGGAGGGTTCCGTTAAAAAGCATTACATGCTTTAAAAATGTTGGACTGTCGAAACAGACGACGCTCCTCTTCTGTGTCCTTCTAGTCCAGAGTTTACTGCTTCCTTACCGGAGTCTAGGATTTTGCACGATATGATCAGCCTCAGGTGTTCTATAGACCGGCTCACCGCATTTTTACGTACTCTTGTTCATACATTATCTGCTATGTGGGCCGCGAAACAATTATTTCGTGTCATTATGGCAGGTGAAGGCCGTTATTATGAGGACTGGCTTAGAAGACAGGAAAGACCGGGAGCTTAAGCTGTTCGCTTTCAAAGCTGCTTTCACTGCCTGACTAACCAGGGTTCACGTGTTTCAAGAATCTGAACTTACGTTTTTAGCCTTTGCTGGTCTCCTAGCTAGCGCATACGTAAGCGGAGCGTAGTTTAACTTTTCGCCGCAGCGCTCGTGGTCAAATCTCACGGCCAATGCTCATCATAACATTAAGACAGGTTCGCGTGTTTTCGCAACTTTTGTGGTTTTGTATTTACCCCTAGCGGAAAGTGTATTGTTTCCGCTACACTAAATCTGTGATAGTCAAAAAGAAGATCGCAACCCTTTAAGAAAGAAAGTGATTGAATGAAAACTACTCTTGCTCTCTTTGCCTCTGCCGCCCATAAACGCTTTCTCCACCGGATGTGGGCGTTTTCTTTTTTTTTTCGCTGTGTTGGTGGTAAAATGCGTTATTGTTAGCTTTTGTTTTTCCCGTACTCACGCAATTGCGTCAGTCTTTCACTGTAACGCTGTGGGTCGGTATAGTTCCGTGAGTGCCGAAAAAACGCAAGACGGACCCGTGTTCTTGCCGAGAAACCGCCTCAAGTGCCGCCTTGTTTGCTTGGATGTTAAAAGAAACGTATGCAGCCATCAATACACAGCACCGTAAATGGCTGTGCCATTCTGTTCAGGACGCGCAAGACACAAAAAAGGAAACGCACAAACACGCACTACCTAATGCAAAAACCACAAACGGCATGTTAACCATATCCCGACATCTGTGGCTTTAGTTGGGCTTTCTTGCTTCTTAATATTTACGGCTCAGTGCCAGTCCGGCCGGTCATTTGCGATTGTTGCTGCTGGAACTAACGTTATTTTGTGTAACCCTTTGTTGTTGCAGAAAAATGTCAAGAATCCTGCAAGGACCACAACCATGCAACGTTGCTGAAAGCCGAGCACGCTCGGAGACAGCAACAGCAGCAGCTACTTCATCATTCACCACAGCAGCAACAGCAGCAACATCAACCACATCAACAGCATTCGCAGCAGCCACAGCAACAAACGCAGCACCGAACACCTTCCCCTGCGCGTCAAGGCCAGAGCAGCGGAGAGCCGGCCGTCATGGCGACGTGTTCCAGAGGTACCACAAAGTCTGGTCCCGAATTTCCCAGACCCACCCTGATTCGCTCCGCAAAGTCACGTTTCAACGAAGTGGCCAAGTGTATGTTGGAGATCATAGAAGACCTCCAGCACAAAAAGCTTGCGGACCCTAGGTCCAACCGAGTTAGGCAGCCCGCACCTACGACGCCGCAATTACTTCGAGACGCCCACGCCGGCGCCAAGAGGGGTAGCAGTGTGCCACAGCGACCCATGTCGGACTCCGAGTACCACGTCTACGAAGAAGTTCTCTACGACTTCGTCAGCACGGGAAGCACAACGTCCGACTCCACAATCAAGCCGCCTCCGCTGCCGGCGAGGCCCGTGGAACCGGGGAACAGACCCAAGCAAAGGAGCAATCTGTATTCCCTGGTACGGAACCAAGAGGAGCGGCGCAACATCTCCAAGTCTCTGGAGCAGGAGTGGAGCAGCGACAAAGGAGAACTGGGGGACGAGTACGGATTCCGGTCTCTGGCAAACTCCTAATGAGGGAGCAAGGCCCTTGGTGCTAATGGAACTTACGGCCCTCGGCGAACTGCCCAGAACCCTGTGAATGCGAGAGATCTTTCAAGATGAGCACCCAGCGGCACGAGCTTGGGTTTGTGCCGGTGACACTTTAGTTGCGGATTTGTTTTGCTAGGGATGGGGGGGGGGGGGGGGGGGGGAGACCAATTCTTATTGGAAGATGTGGTGGTCGTTGTTTTGTGTTATTGAAGAAAACCAGCTTTAGGGAACTGATTTTCCCGCATTTTTCTCGAGTTTTAATACATTCTGTTTAATATAGTAATCTAACAAATCTTTGGGAGCCGCAGGCCTCCAAGGTGGGATAAGTTGTGAGAGGATGAAAAATTAGAAGACAACAAACTAGGGATCTGGGGTTGCTCGCTCACTCGCGAATCACTGCCACGTCAATATTTATTTGCAAATCAGCAAGGCCAAATAAGAACTCCATATCTGGGCCATAATAGTGTTTTTTTATAAAAGTGGCATCGGAAACAAACTTGCTCAAGGTTGCAGTAACACTGGTGGTTGTACCGCAGCCGTGAAACAATAGCGAATACTGTTAGTACAGATCATCTTCAAGAACGGGCGTTCTAGACTGCGAGGTTGGCCGGGTATACTTTTGAACTTTTCTTGTTCGTTTCCAATTCAAGCGCAGCCTAAACGAGTCTACGGCAGCTAAGTGCATGCTAGAACCACAAATCATGTTTGGTATAAAACAACTGTACCCCTCACACTGTTCCTGTATGGCGTGATCACTGTTCAACATACATATCGTCGTTTGTCTGACATGAAGGCAAATGAATTTGTAACTTGTAGATCACTTTCTCTTCGTCTACATGTCCATAGGATAAGCATATCAACGTAACTGCCAGATACAAGGATGTAATAGGATGTCAGAACTTTACATTTTGTGATGACTAATGAAATAAGATAGAAGTGAAATTAATAGAAACATCTGTAGTGCATGTCACATACCATATCATTGGTATAACCTTTTTCAAATAATTTAAGTTTATTCAAATGTTGTTCATTTGCAACTTTCAAGCCTTGTCGCTACAATAAGCGTGACCAAAAGATACTCTCGGTAACTGGCCGCTATCATGATGCCGTTGCATCGACGTTGTTTAAGACGGTTAACTTAGGGTATTTCATGTATTCTAATCTAAAGCATAAACCGTATCAATTTTTATCAGAGGAAGGATACGACCGCCGATGTTTCTCAACAAGGCTTAGTGACTTCGGAGCTGGTGAAGCCAGGTCTCCCGCAGGATATTGGTTGTTTATTTTTAAGTTCTTCTTAAGCGCTTTGATTATCTCTATAAGTTGTTAAGAATGAAATAATGGATTGTCCTGTTCAAACTAGGAAATCGAAAAATGAGAGTATTTCTGGTATCCTTCTGCAACTAATAGTACCAGGTTATACTGATTCCCACAGCATCTGCGCAGCGTTATCAAAGGAACAGCTACGAAAGCATAGCACTGCTGGATATTTTATTTGCACGAGCACTTCAAAAGCCCACACACTCGCTTACGTGTCTCTTGTAACGCTCCACGCAATTCTGAAGGAAGGGGTATTACATTCCTTCTAATAAAAGTCTTTTTTTTTTTTTATTCCGCCAATTTTTAGGCTTTATACCTCACTTAAAGGTCGACGTACAACCTCGGCTTTATGCAGGGAAAATAATCCTCTTAGCGCTCCCCTCTCCTAAGCTGGGAGAGGAGCCAAGTTGGGGCAAGGTAAAAAGTTGAGAGGATATAGGAAAGGAGGAGGCGAGTAAACGTGGAAAGCGCAAAGTGTACGTCGGTCTTTAAGAGTGCAAAGCATATCGTAGGAACATGATGTTGCCTGGCATGGCCATACCTATGAACGTTTGATACGTGCCTCAACAGAGCCATCTCTCTTACAAGGGTTCCCTAAGTTTCCGTTGAATACCCTTATTGCTACCTTTGCCAGAAAACTTCGTTCCCAAAACATCTCTTGCTTAGGACTCCAGAAGCAAAAAACAAAAGTGCCATAATTATTTTAGGATTTATTTGCACCTCTCTACTTTGTCATATAACACAATGCCTTAGAACTAATGAGCACACAGCTCGAAATGCTTATAAGCATTTCGAGCTGTGTGGTCTCTGATCTACGAGTTCTTGTTATTAAAAATTTCCGAACGCGCCAGAGGCAGCACATTTGCAGCATGCAAACGAACTATAGGAAGAACTTTGTACCGTGATCAGTTTCCAACGAGCGCAGTTTTCAATCATGTATAGAAGCGAGTTGTCAAGGTATAAACACAACCCTGATCAGTGTCGTCTCACTTTAACATACCGCTACTTCAATCGTAGACATGTGTGACATATGCAAACTTATATAAACCGAAAATTGTCAGTATTGTGTGTGTGTATAGAGCACTATATGTGTATGAAAAACAAACGAACACGTAACGCGTGCCTACATTGAATGTTGTTTCAGGGTGAATGAATGTTGACTAAACGCTACCATCAATTCAAAAGTTCCAACTGTTTTTTTGTTGTTGTTCCTTTTTGTACAGAAAACAAATTATATATAGATGCTTGTAATCGCGCTCTTGTCTGAAACTCGTGCAAAGAGGCCTTTTCGGGAAGCTCCTCTGGCACCCTGCCTCAAACCCCCATCTGGCAGGCAACTGTTCAGCCCTGAAGTTGCTCGAAGAAGCGCGTGGACGGATGCCTGTTTACGTGTACAAAAAGATAATAAAAGTATGGAAAGAGTTTATGCCAGCATGTTCTGTGGTGTCACATACGCGGTGAAGAATTCATGTGATTCCTCTATTTGCAGCCCCAACGACGTGTATTCGATCCCCTTTCCACGTTACGGTCGGCAGGCCACGCCAGTTTTCGCTGCACATTTGGACAGGCGATAGGTCCCCGCTTCTCTCCTTCGTGTATTTTGTGCTAGGAGGCGTCGAATCCTCTGGAGCTGCGAACAGAAGCGGCGTCTGCTGGCAGCACATGACCGTCCATACGAAGGGTTTCGCGCTGCTCAAAATAGTTTAGAGTTCCGAGCAGCGACTGCCTGTTAAAGCTCTTGATGTGAAAATGTAGCGTACAAAGCGATGGTAGCGCCACCTATCCACATCTGCTTGCAAACAAACATTCGCTGGATGATAGATCGCAAAAATGAACTGGCAGCGACGTACAAGGAACACTGCGTTCTGTTTAAAGGGGCGATGCAACAATTTTTGTATTTTGCGCAAATGCCGCTTAGAACGGATCCCTGAGGTTAATGACCTGTGAAATACCCGTTTGTTTTTCACCACACGCAATCGAAGTCACAGAAAAAAATAAAGAAAAACGAGCTGAGGTTATCCTCTCAACTCGCAGCCAGAACAAGCGGCCACGTGATCTGGAGCCGATTATATGCCGCCAATGTTGATCATAGCCATGCGCTGGGGTTGGCAAGCACAGGACACGCGCTGCGTTCCAGACATTGTTATGGTTCGGCTGTTTTCGTCATTGCAGTGATTGGACACAGGACACTACGCGAATGCTTCTCGAGCTGTCGATTATCACGAGCCCAAATCGAGTGCCCACGCAATGCTCGGGTGCAATCTATGAGCCGCATTCAAATATCGTCACTGGGCGGTACTGCTACCGCCGAGCTACGTCATCAGGTTTTTCGAAGGAGAGATTGAATGAAAACGCTCGGTTTTGTCCTCAATAGAGAATCTAAGACCTGTCTCACTTACATCGAACATTTGCAAAACAATGGAAAAAATTGTTCTCCGAAGACTACAGTGGTACTTGGAAACTCACAACAGGCTCGATCCCAGACAAACGGGTTTCAGGGAGGCGATGGGAACCCAGGACAGCCTCAAGCTCCTCTACGAGGACGTCATGGCCAACAAAAATCAGCAAGACCCACGCCTCGTTGTCGCCCTGGACATTAAGAAGGCCTTCGATGCCGTCCCACACTGGGCAGTCATAAAAGGAGCTAGGAGGTGCGGAATCCAAGGAAAATGCCTGGCCTTCATACAAGACTTTCTGCGGGGCAGAAGGTTCCAAGTGAAGATTGGTAACACTAAAGGACCCGACACCCCGAACTGCAGGGGTGTACCACAAGGAGCAGTGATCTCACCGACACTCTTCAATATGGTGATGGCAGAGTTGCCTACCAGGCTTCGGAATATCGATGGTCTGGGCTTCACCATATATGCAGACGATGTCACGCTCTGGACACGCGGAGGCTCCTTGGGAGACCAAGAACAGACGATGCAAGAAGGTATAGATGAGGTCGCTCGATATCTCTCTGAAGTTGGGATGGAGCCATCACCGGATAAAACACAGTACATGGTTGTGGCCAGACCAAGGGACCATAGGAAAGGAATAGCCGACTTGATACGACTAGAGATCAATGGACAGGAAATAAGTAGACGCCCACACATCAAGATACTGGGAGTCACCTTCGAGGAGACGGCGCGCACCACGAGGTGGATACCCGAGCTACAGAAGTGGTGGGCACAAGGTCTCAAGCTCATCCGAAAGATCACGAGCAAGTCCTGGGGCGCTGACGAGAAAACTCTCAGGATCTTAACCGAGGCAGTACTCACCCCCAAAGCATTGTACAGCTGCAACTGGCTCAATCTGACCAGAAAGCACTGGAAGCAACTTGAAAGGTTGAACTACCAATTGATGAGGGCAGTCACAGGCCTTCCAAAATACACAGCTATAGAAGACCTGAGGAAAGAAGCCCAGATGAACACTATCGAAGAGCGTGCCGAGGTTCAGAACCTTGCCCAATTTCAACGGCTCGAGAGAACAGAGCACGGACGCAAGCTCCTAGCAATTCTAGGATACGACATGCGAGACAGGCCCCCGCTAGAGGAACCGCAGCCTCCATGGCAAGATAACACCATCACCGACCACAAACCCATGCCGAAGACTCTCAACCAAGGGAAGCGGGCTCGAGCGGCCAGACTACACGTAAGCTGGTGCGAAACGCACGCGACAGAAGATGAGTTACGGTACACGGACGCCGCCAAGACAGAGGACGCCACGACTACGTCGTGGTACGATCCACGAAGAAATGAAGAGAGCACCGAAATACTTTCTGAAGGGACTTCTATCAGAGAGGCAGAACTGAGGGCTATCTTGGCGGCGGTGAAAGACGTGCTCAAGAAACAGACCCAGCCAGGCAAGGCACGAATTTTTACGGACTCGCAAGAATCAATTCGTGCGTGCCGATGCAGCAGAACAAGGAGTCGCACGGTAAAGCAAATAAAGAAAGTGGCAGTGGAGCTCCGCACAAGGGGCACCATACTTACAATCGAGTGGCTACCCGGACACAGTGGCATACCCGGGAACGAGAGGGCACACCGAGCCGCAGCGGAGACAGCCTGTAGCACTCACTCCGCACCAGGCTCAACCTCTCGGGAGAAGATGAAGGCGGAAGCAATGGACCCGGAGGAACGGGCCGAACTCGCCAAACTGGAGAGAAAGGCCTACCTTCGCAGCCAGCTTCCGCCGACAGACAGCAACATACTGGTAGGATACAGTCGGTGGGAAACCGTCAGGATTCGAAGAATAAGAACGAATACTGCACTTACACCATCCAAACTAGTATTTTTTGGACTGAAAGAAGATATGGACCCAACCTGCACGAGCTGCTCGGAAGGAGCCGAGGCAACATTGCAGCATCTGCTCTGGGCCTGTAAGGGCCTCGAGCATCATAGAAATGATGCTCTGGACAAGATCCAAGGCGTAGACAAGCCTACGGCGCTCGAGGAGTGGACCAATCCAACGGGCACTCCTCAGCACAGGAAAGCCATCCTCGACTCCTTGATACAGTATATCAGGGAGTCGGGTGTACATAGCCTCATCTAAGACGTCACTACCATCATCATGAAACCTCCCACACCCCCTCACCCTTCACTACCCCTCCCCTCCCGTCTCAGGAGCACAACTCCATAGCGGGTGAACCCCTCATCAAATAAAAACATGTCTCTCTCTCTCTGTCCTCAAAATTACAGCGCAACATAGGAGTTTCTTGGTCAGTGCCGATGCGTGCGAGTATCCTTGAGTCCCATTAGTGCCAGTAAGCTCGTGTAAAGTGAAAAAACATTCAAATTGAATATCGTTGCACAGAGCCGTTTTCTTAAGTTATGTTACGAAAAGTCACCGTGAAATTTGTGCTTCGTATTAAGCGTGGCTACCAATTCAAGCAGATAGCCTGGCACTCCACATTCGAGACACGAATGTTTCGGTGACGACGAGCTAGGACGGTGAGTTACCGTGCCAACCAAGGACACAAGGCTCATCGTAACGTAACCTAAGGAGTTGAGCTCGGTTCAACTGTTCACTCAGCACCGTTGTCTTACGTTACGTCTAAGTCACCGAAACATTCGTGTCTCAAATGTGGCGTGCCCGGCTGTCTCCTTGAATTGGTAGCCACGATTAATACCAAGCACAGATTTCCCGGTGACTTTTCGTAACGTAACGTAAGAAAACAGGTCTGTGTGAACGAGTCTTGACACAACTTTAATGTAAGAGATCTTATACACAATCAACGAACGCAATGCAACTCTTTTTTTTTTTTCAGGCTTAATTGTACATTATCCCATCGAAACCTGAGCTTGATGACGACACAACGCCTTAGTGTAATTCTCCTGCAACCAAGCAGATCATCGGGACTTTATTGGTGTCGCCCCTTCGTGCATTTGTATGATTTTTCTGCGGCAGTATGACACATACAGAGACGATATCTAGGTCATATTTGTTTTCGAAAGTTGTCTTTTCTTTTACTTAATGTTCCTGCCCGTGGCGGCTCTACCACACTTCATCCCAAGTCACTTCATCCCAGGACAGTTCATCCACGGCACATCATACCAAAGTCATTTCATCCCAGGATGTTTCACCACAAGACAGTTCATCCCATGGACAATCCATACCACGAAATTTGATGCCAGAATAAGGTTCAGCCGATTCAAGGGCCGCTCACTTCATCCCAGGCCATTTCACTCCAGGACTGTTTATCCCGGACACTTCATACCAGAAACGTTCTATCCCGAGACGTCTCATCCCAAGACGCAATTCATACCAAGGACATTTCATACCTGGATATTTTATACCACAAAGTCTTTCAAGTTATAAAATTGGTTTTTCACGCGCGGAGCCGACATATGCACTTCGTCTTTCTTCTATTGTCACCCGTGCCACGTAAGACCGTCCTGCACTTAGCATCGAGCTTCCATCAGTCGAACAGTCCAGCCGGCCCGACTCATTGATTGTCATCGAGTTTGTTTATAGAACATGGCCACCTTTGTGACTTCTCGTCGAGGATCGCCGGAGCTCTGCTTCGAAGGTTACATGTACACCAAGTACAGGACCAACGACGAGACGATGGCATGGAGTTAAGAGAAATTTCAGGAGGGTTGTCGGGGACGAGCTGTTACTGCAGGTGAGACGACCCCCGTGACAGAAGGCCACACTTGCCATCTACCGAGTCCAGAACATGTCGCCGCGGCGCGTTTACAAGATAAGATCAAAACTGCAGCCCAGCGTTCCCACGACACCCCTCGGAACGCCGTGGCCGCCTGTCTACAAGGGGCAAGACCGGCGACTATCGCGAAGCTCCCCAAGCTGGTATCACTGGAAAGGAAGGTGAACAGAGTTCAACGCGAAGCTCATTGCGCAACTCAAGTTCCCCACCGAATCGAAGACATAATTGTACCTGAACACCTGCGCATGACAAAAACAGCGTCACCTGAAGTATGTCTC